GTCCTGAGGTTGGTGTGCCAGGTGGAGGTTTTGTTTCAAAAGAATCATTCAGTCCTGTTATATATGGTGTGGGGAAAAAAATTACGATTTGCAAGTCTGATTTTTTTTCTATGATAGAATTTGGTTATGTTGCAGCTGTTTGTGTTACTTTGTCTTACTCAAATACGTTTTACGTCCTTTGTGGTTGCCTTTTCTGTGCAGTGACTGTGTGTAAGTGTGTGTGTGGACGACGGTGAAATGAAAGAGCTTTTGTTTGACTCTGCTGCTCATCTTCTCTGAATTTTGTTTATTTTTCTTTTACATCTTCTCTTCGTTGCATTTGTAAATCAACATTGGTTCATTTAAATTCCTTACGTTTTCAGAATTTTTGGAGGAAAAAACAGATAAAATAATCAATTCGAGAAAAATTAAGAGCAGGCGACATGTAAAGTAGGCATTGCTTCTCATGGGAAAAGCTTCCGTGCTTTTAATTTGTCCCCTTGTGTCCACGCAAACTTCTTTTTCTGCTTTTCTTTTTTATTTATTGAGCTCAGTTGTCATGACTTCCCTTTCCTCCACAGGTGACCAAACAGATCCACGAACATGAGCAGGAAAGTGAGCTGCGGGAGCAGATGTCGGGCTACAAACGCATGCGGCGGCAGCACCAGAAGCAGCTGATAGCGCTGGAGAACAAGCTGAAGGCCGAGATGGACGAGCATCGGCTGAAGCTGCAGAAGGAGGTGGAGACGCAGGCCAACAATGCCTACATCGAGCTGGAGAAGCTGGCCAAACGCCACGCCGTGCACACCGAGAAAGAGGTGGGATTTGTGAGGGCCGGTGGAGTCACGGGACACGGGTGGAAGCACATTTGCTGTGATTCAAAAATCATCACACACACCTACAGATGCCATGTAACGGGGGTCAAGCTTTGGAAAAACAGGCGGGCATGAAATTGACGTGATGACTCTTTTAACTCATTGACTGCCAGCCATTTTCAGAACAGAGAGTCCCATACTGCCAGAGTTTTTTGAGCATTTTGACTGATTTTTCAAGAGCCACAGAATAGTTTGTGCCATGACTTTGTAAACACCGAACACACCAAAAGAAAGAGTAGACTCTCTTCTTTCATCGGGAAAAAAAATGTGTTTCTACCTTATTCCGTTCTTCCTCGACTTGCGTCTCACCGGCGACATGTTCTCTCATAGTGAACCGTTACCTTTTTCTTATTTGCCTACAGTCTATGCTCATCTCCCATCAAAAGTGGCACTGCCCCCTAGAGGGTCAATTTGTTACTACATACTCTGTCTGGAAGCCGATATTTACGGAAAAACTTTAGCCGATCTTCCCCCAAGCCACTCTCGTTGAAAAACATAAAAGACGTCTGTAGACGTCTTTGGCGGTCAACGGTTGTATTTGAATTGACGTCTATAGACGTCTTTGGCAGCCAATGGGTTAAGATCCTCGAGGGAGAGTTTGTCAGGACCCTAACGCGACCACTGGGGGAAATAAAATTGTACTTTGCACACTGCTGCCACCCAATGATACATAAGATGAAACACAAGGGCAGAACTGGGTCACAGAATGTCACTCTTTGAAAAAAACAAGCGGCATATCTCTGTGATTAGCACACAGCGTGCCGCACCAGCCCAGGAGATAAAGGAATCTGTTCATATAGACAAGCATGTAGCCCTAAACGGTTACATAAACATGAGTGGCTGTTTGAACTGAAACAGTTGAAGCACAGAAAAACCACCATTGTCATGATAGTTGAGCTCATATTTATTTAGGTTCATATACATTGATCTAACCAAGCAGTGCAGCCCATGAATTTGAACAGGTTAAACCCTAAAAGTTGAAAATG